ATCCGCCACTTCATTTTCCATATTGACAAAATCTAACATTGTTTTGATATTCCTGCAGATGTATCAAAAATAAAATGAAAATATTGCATGTGCAATAGTTTTCACCCTAAACTGTTTCTGCATTTTTGTTTTACATATGAGCCGTATTCAAAGATGAGTTACATTTTTAAAATGTTCTTAAAATTGTACACAATGGTGTGTAATTGCAAAATGGAAAAAAACAACTATTTTTGGTATTTTTACAAATTGATAAATGCCAATCACATCTACTAACAGCCACCACAATAACTTTTTCACTTTTGCCAAAAATGTATTCTGCACTTAAGTTTTTAATATATCACTCACAATGCCACATAAATGCAAAATTAACACACTTTTTAAATATTTAGAAATGTATTAAGAGTTAAGATAAGTACAAAGATCTGATGCATAGTATTCAATTTCTTAACTTTTTTATTCCTTAAAAATTATAACTTACAGAGTGTCCTCCCCCGGTTATCACTTGCCGCAAATAGCAGCTAGAATTCCAAAATTTACTCAATTTTGTTTTCTGTAAAAATTCTACAAATAAAGTTTAATGACAAAATCCCGGTGTGAGCATTTTACCTTCTTAACAGTGAACTTGTTAGACAGCAGCGCAGTGAGGAGCTGTAAAAGCGGTGCGATCTTGTGAGGGAACATCCCGACGGCGCTGTCAAGGATCATTCCTAAACCCATGTTGGGCTTCTGTGAAAGGATTCCAACAAAATTTAGGCAATTATTGGACAATTATTCCCGCGAGTCCCTTTAATGATGTAATTCGGTCCCCACCATTTCCCAGAAGACTTCAGCCAGGCTGGGTGCAGAGAGGACCTCGCAGGCGGCATCAATCAGGTGGGAGCTCTGCGACCCTGCGGTGCCAGTCTGCGAGGGGTCAAAAATATATGAGCAGGTAAGTGTATTTTATTTTTCACAAAGTGCTTCACATAGTTTGACCCTAAACAAGTTTTAACTTTAAGTTTTAACAATACAAGTTGTCCAGGATCACAAATAAATACTTCAGTTTTTGTCACATTCAACTGAATCAAGTTGTGAGGTATCCAGCCATTACTTGTCGACAAGCAATTACCCACTACGCTTATTTCATCTGGACTGTCAGCATTAAATGAAGACTAAATCTCGAGGTCAACTGCATGAAAGTCATACAGAATGAGATAGCCTCAAATTTGCAGATACCCCTTTTTTGTGTTCACAAAAAAAAAAAAAAAAAAAAAAGCGCTGAGAATGACCCTTGAGGAACACCACGGAAAAAGGAAGACAGATGTCCGATGATGATCAATTTTATAGATACAATATGAGCCAGGAAAGAGCGGCCCCTGAGATACTTACCTAGTCACTCAGTCTGTCTATGAGGATATGCTGATTAATAGTATGAAAAATGTGGGGACGAACACGGGCGAGAATGCTATGTGAAGATAGCGAACATACCTGTAGGCTTTCTTCTTCGAAAGATGTGATGACGAATGACAATAGGCCGTAGACGCACATCTTGGCTGTGCTTGCTGTGCACTGCGGTGGAGATTAAAAAAAAAAAAAAAAAAAAAAAAAAGTTCTTTTACCCAAAGAGGACACAGATAACACCAAAGTTGATCAGGTTGGCACTGCATTACATTATTCCCCGAAACTCCCAGGCCTTTCAGCATGGTAGCAAGGTACTTGAAGACCTCCAGCTGCAAGGCGGTGCTGCCGATCCTCCGAACCACAGGGTTGGACTCTTCAGGTCTGAGCGTGTGGCGCAGCAGGACCCAGGCTAAAAGCACCGGTCCATGGTGGGGGATGTCCCCCAAGGTCAACAGTAGCTGGTCCATCTCCTGAGAGAGGGAAGGCAGTAAGACAGAAACAGACATTTAATGAACTCCAATTAAAGAGGTGGTACCACTAATTTTGTGGCCATAGTCAAACCTTGACAATGTCGGGAACACTGGAAAACTGATGCTGCTCTGTGCAGTCCTCCAGTGCACACTTGTGAAGGAAGTCTACATCCATGCCCTCCACCAGGATGAGAGAGCTCAAGTAGCTGCATTGCACCAGGGAAGGAAAAAAACAAAAATGTCAACATGAGCTCACTTTCGATACAGGGAACAATATAGTGTACATTGTCATTAACAGGGGTATGCAGTGTATTATTTTAATCAACAAACAAATCAAAGTGTTCTGACCCAATGCGATCGACCAGCGCGTCCATGCTCTTGTCCACCAGGTGCCTGTTGGTTTGCCGCAGACCGAAGCCCTGCTCCTTGAACATCTTGGTGAAGGCCAGCAAGTCGGCCGGGTTCATCTCGAAGTAGGCGTAGTATAGGAAGACAATCTCCAGCAGCAGCGATTGCTCGCGCAGGCACTGCAGGAACCAGCGTGATACCTGCCGCTCCGTCTGAGGGACGGCAACAAAATGTTTAATGCGCCGTCTTTTCAGCCCCCTTTCCCCCGTCGGGCGTGCGGCGGAGCATCACCATGAGGTTCCCGTGGGTTTCCCACGTGGGTGCCTCGGCTTTGAAGAGGCTTTGGAACTGAGCCTGGTAGCCGCTGACCAGGTCCTTCTCCAGCTTATTGATGCAGTTTGAATATTCGGCCTTGCCAAGGAGAGCAAAAGGCATGTTACGAAACCAAACAAGGACCAGAGAATCACACGTTTTTGGGGCGGGGTGGTTTTCTAACCCTGTAGGGATGTCGCTCATCTTGGAAATATGTCAGCAACAGGAGGACGCAGCGGAGAAGACACATGCGCTCCTCGTAGTAATAGTCCGCTACCTGTGGACACGAACATAGACACACACACACTTGGTTTAAATAAAGATTTTTTTTTTTTTTTTAAAGGAACAGCAGATATTTACTGACCTTGAGCAGCAATGCTTGACTTTGCCGCTCGTCTTTTAGCACAACCTGCACACATACAAAGGATGAATAATGTAAACATCACTCGAGTCCTCCCGTGTCTCCATTTAACAATAACCACAACCTGCAGCGAGAGCTCACCTTTAAAGAATCACGGGTTCCTCTGTAGTCCTCCTGCAGGTAGCACTGTAGCAGCTGCACACTCTGCAACTCATCCAGGCCCTGCCATTATACAACACATTGCACATGTTCAAAAAAACTGACAAAGAGCTCATCAAGTGCTTTTCACAAAATCTTACCAGTAGCTTACTGAGCCTGAGACCAAAATCCTTCAGCGGCTCTGCAACATCTTTCTTCTCTTTCACTTTGCTGGCCGAGGCAGAGCTAGACGAGTACAATTGCAGTTATTTCTTTCCTTTACTGTTTGAAATCATCAAGGGGGGTGGGGGGGGAATCTACCAAGCATACCTGGGTGGCTTGTAGTAGCTCAGGCCTTGATGCAGTCGCTCCCAGTGTGTTTCCAGCTCCGATTCTATCTGGGCCTTCAGAGAACATTAGGTATGTCCATCTTTTGTATGTGCATGCATCCATTGTGTCCATTGTTGACACATGCGGACTTTCAGTACATTAAATCATATGGTTTGGTTGAACATTTTAGTGTTTAAATATGCAGTGTGTATTCAGTTTCAGGGGTAGCAACAGTGATTGTAAACAGTCATATCATCAAACTATCCGACATATGCATTCAATTGGAATTTATCACTTAGGTTAGTCCCTAACCGCTAGGACGTGTGAAAAATAAAATAAAATCATACTGGCTCTCTCAGCGCAGAACGTCCCAGGAGAATGGTCCATAACTCTCGAGAGCTCCTATGGGGGGAGAAAGGGGGACATCATTAACATGAAGCCATCACATCCCGGTACACATTGTGTAAATACAATACAAACTGAGGTATCATTTACTTTAGCAGAGACAGGGGTTTTGTAAAATACACTCATTTAAAGAAAATATTATATATTATAATTTATTGAATGTTTCAGTATTTATGACAGAGGTGAACAGTTGCTTTCACAACATTGTTGCGAGAGCAATGGGTGACGTATGTAACAGTGATATTTTTTTCTTTTTTCACATTTAACTGATGAGTGAACTTTAATGTCCACGATATACAGTGCTCGGAAAGTACTGATTGTATGAATGATTCTGAACAGCCCTTCAGTTTAACGTGTGTCTTGAGAAATAATACTGAATGGCTTTAAATGTGGCATTTTTATTTGACGTCTGAATAAATATTCAATGCTCAACGTTATTTTAGCCCACAAGCTCAACTCGTGCGTTCCGTGGCCTCTGAATAAATATTCAATGCTCAACGTTATTTTAGCTCAACTCGTGCGTTCCGTGGCGACTATGGGGTGTATAAGCACCGAAACGCGGAACTGCCGTAAGCTTTTCAAAGAAACTCCACGCCACCTAGACATTCAAACGGTTTAACTGTTAGCACTGTTGCTAAGCTAACTTAGCGTGGCGCTCAGAGCCGTAAAAAGATGGCAAGGACGCGGCCGAACAGGGAAATATGCTATCGAATGGCGGTCTGGTGAGCTAAGAACTTCTACACAAACGTCGCTTATTTTATTTAAAATTTTCAAATAGCATAGCAGTCAAACGAGGAAAGTTAGATTAAGTTTGTGGCTCATGGCAAACCTGAAGCTCATCATCGATTCCGCCATCTTCGACGCTGCGCTATGATTGGTCAGTATGCTATGTCGTCACGCGGATGCTCGACTTCTTCGTCATGTTGGTGAAGTTGTACTGCTTGACCGCCACTCAGTGGACAGCAATATAATAACGTCAGATCCGTACCTTCTCGCTCAGGGGTAGGTAACTCCGGTTCCTCGATAGCTATAACCTACCCGTTTTAGATCTCTCCCTACTCCACCACACCTGATTCACTTTTTTTTTTAAATCATTTAGAACTGAAGTTCGGGCCTGTCAAAAAATGTCCTCGAGGTGTTGTACTGCCGCCATCTTGTGGACGGCGATCCAATAAAAATTATACCGGTGCTTATTATTTACATTTTCTTATATATTTACAAAATATTATTTACTAAATTAGAAACTACATCCAACTATCAGAATTTCATTTTGAAAAATAACTAAATAAAATGAAGCAATGAAAAGTCGTGCTACCACGTGACTTGGCTGTCAAAACATGGCAGCCTACTACTGGTTGGGAGACGAACGATCTCTGACAAAGGATACAAAGCAAGCCGCCCTCCCACTTCCTCCGTCCACATGACAACACAATAACGCGGTACGTATTATTCTATCTCTCTGTGCATCCTCAGTGCTGATGACGATTGTTTCGATGTTTATTATTTGCATTGTAGCGTTGAGGATAGCGCGGTGTTGGTATCATTCAACATCTCTGAAAATCTCACTTGTAAGTCATAAATATCCTGAAAATGTTGCTTTTTTGCCATTCTTGACGAAAATAGCACGTCTGACACCTCCTGGGGCTAAAGGGGTTAACGCACAACTTGCAACCCCCCACAGCAATAAAAGGATGTTGTGCAACGTGCGTGAATACGCGTGTAAATGTGAGTGTGTTAAGGTTCACCCAGGAAGCAGTGATTTATGCAGTGGTGAGCAGTCAGGGGACAAGCAAAGGCCTTTTCCGCTGGTCTACATTTACATCCTAAATTGGAGTAATTTGTAACCAAATATATTCTCTTCATTTGGTAGCATTGGCTGCACAGCTCCCACAATGTTTATGAGGATGTTTTTTTTTTTTTTTTTATCCGATCGGATTCCAACTCTCTGTTGTTGTCATGTAATTTAAACCATATAATGGGACAGGAAAAGCTGTAATATGGAAAAAAAACTATTTCAGTTCAACTATTCCTCCAAAATGAATTAAAAAAGAAACATAAAGTGGGCAACGATTAATTAAATAACTTGAATAATTCTATCATGAACAAAAAGTTGAAGCAGTGATCATTTTTCCACGCTGTTAGGTTATATCAGTCGCACACCCCACTCCACTCTACACACTCATTCGCTGACACACACGTCAATCATCAGGCCAGGCCGAGAGGGAAATGCAAGGATAGCGATCCAATTGGATAAAAATACCGACACTGCAGCTGCACGTGGTCATTTTTTAAAAAAAAAATCTGATTACTCGATTAATCGCAGACGATTCAATTCGGAAACTATTTGATAGTGGCAGCCCAAGTAGGCACACTTTATTTGGTTTTGCGGGCTTCATACAGTACTGTGATGGGTCAGATCACATGGGCCTTGAGTTTAACTCTTGTGTTTCAACTTCACACCAACCTTTTTTCAGAGGGAGATCTGGCCCACATGAAGAAGTGACAGAAGGCGGCCTTTGTTGATCACAATCCCGTCTGCGGCGATGACCACCCACATCAATCCGGTTCTGGTGGAGTCCTTGGTGGTGTCAGCAGTGGTTCTGTGCGTCCACGCGGCGCTGTGGAACCAGCACTCGTGGTGTGCCGTGGCACTGCTCATCCAGGCCTTCTACGTGCAGCACAAATGGGACCGTCTGCTCAAGTCGGGTGGCGCCGTTTTCCAGTTCCGCCCCGCCGCCAACAGCGGCATCGTCCCGGCCTCGATGGTGATGCCGCTCCTGGGTCTGGTGCTGCGGGCCAAGTGTGCCTCGGCGGGCAGCGTCCACCTGGAGCGCTTCACCATGGTGGTGACGGTGAGTGGCATGGTCCTGGCACTCTTCCTGTCGCTAATCGCGCTTGGCATTACGAGACCGGTGCCCACTAACACCTGCGTGGTAGCCGGCCTCTCAGCCAGTGCCATTTTGTACACCGCCAAGCAGACTCTGACAGTATCGGAGGTGATCGAGGTGTTGGAGGTGCTGCTAATTTTCGTGTACCTCAGCCTCATTGTGCTCTACCTACTGCCACGCTGCTTCACGCCCGGCGAGGCGCTGCTGGTGGTGGGCGGCATCAGCCTGGTGGTCAACCAGCTCGTCAAGCGCTCGCTGAGCTGGGCCGAGGCCAAGGGGGGAGACCCGGTCCACTACCTGTTGCCTGTGCTGGTGGTGGGCTCACTCCTGCTGGGCGTGGTCTTCGCGCTGCTCTTCTGCTTCATGGAGTCTGAGACGTGGGTGTCGTCGCTCTTCTTCCACACCATGACGGCCGTGCTCGGCCTGGGTATCCTCATGCCGTGGCTCGCGCTCTTCATTGGACGCCATCCCATCATGTGGCTGTGGGACTTTGTCACCTTCAACCGGTGCCGCCTGGGACTTGTGGCGTACTGGGCGGCGCTGTGCTTGGCCGCCACCTGCGTGGTCCTGCACCAGAACTACCAGCGCCGTGCCGGCTCCAAGAAGCACCAGGCCTCCACGGTGGTGCGTAAGTACTTCCACGTCATCGTGGTGGCCACCTTCGTCCCGGGACTCCTGTACGACCGCCAGCTGCTCCATGTGGCATCGGCGGGCTGCCTGGCTATCTTCATCTTCCTGGAGTACGTGCGTTACTTTCGGATCAAGCCGCTCGGCCAACCTCTCCGCCACCTGCTGACCTTGTTCTTGGATGAACGCGATTCGGGCCCGCTCATCCTCACCCACATCTACCTCCTGCTGGGCATGGCGCTGCCCATCTGGCTCTTCCCGGGGGCGTGCGCACCCAAGGGGACGCTCCCCGGGGCGGGCGGTTTGGTGCCCTATGCCGGCGTGCTGGCGGTGGGCGTCGGCGACACGGCGGCGTCGGTGTTTGGAAGCACGCTGGGCGAGATCCGATGGCCCGGCACCAAGAAGACCATGGAGGGCACGGCCACGTCGGTCTTGGCTCAGATCATCGGCGTGGCCGTGCTGTTGATTTTCGATGTGGGCGTCAATCTTAACGGTGCCTACTCTTGGATTCTGGGCTCGGTGGCGCTGGTGGCCATGCTGGAGGCGTACACGTCGCAGATTGACAACCTGCTGCTGCCGCTCTACCTGCTCATCCTGCTCACGCTCTGACAGGACGACAAGAGCGGCTGGCAGCGAACGGCACAATAGACACAGTCAGCAAAACTCAAAATCGTGGCAAATCGATGGAAAAAGCGCAAGCGGGGCGGATGTCATGCCTACGAATTACCTTTCAGAACATTATTTTAAATGAATTACTCAGATAATGTTCGGGATATGACACTTTGGGTTGATATTTCAGAATGGAACTAAAATGCACTCCAGCAGTGGCTCTCAAACTTTTTACAGCAAGTAAAAAAAACAAATGAGACGACTATATTCTTGTAAGCCATTGTAGAATTATGCACAGTTTGAAACTTTACACAATGGGAAATTTAATTTAAAAAGCACATAAGCAACGAAGCAATGAAAATGTATTACACATAAAAGGTAAATCAAAAGAAACATGTACTCGAATAAATGTTGAAAAACGAACAGCTGCTCAAACTGAAATACAACTGAACTGCTCGGCAGCAATTCTTTTGTGTCAAACTTCTGGCACTATCTTTTTCCAATGGGATGGATGAGCTGAGGTAAACGATGTTTTAAATACGGAAGACATTGAACAGTTGGACGTTTGAAAGTATCCAGAAAGTACAATTCATGTAAGTTCACCTGTAAAGATCACAGAGCATTTTGGCTTCATTGTGAAACTTGACCCAATTTTTCTCAAACATGGCGAGTAATTTATGATTATGTTTCTCCTTCGCAATCATCATCAGAGCCTTAAGTCGTGTTCGTGCCATGACGACGGGTTTCGCGGGAGTTGTGGATGGGAGCATGAACGGAAAGCAGACGCCGTTTATGCAGCTTTCATGGGACCGCTTACAGTATTTGTTATTTAAAAAACGTGTTCCTAAACCTTCCCCGTCCTCCCAATGATCACGATTGAATCCTTCTTTTAATCTTGCATGTGAAAGAAAATCACACTTTACTTTTGCAAGTTTCACAGAACCTCTTCAGTTATTTATTCGAGAGAAACAAAAAAACACGGATCATTTTTAGCTACGTTTTGATCACAATTGAATGTTTGCTCACGTTCCTCAATTCGAACATGAAGATGTCTCTGCGTTTCTAATCGTGTCACCTTTTGGCAGGTTTCATGGCTCCTCTTCAATGGTTTACTTTCTCAATGAGTTAACCCCCCCCCCCCTTTCAAACGACCACAATTGAATGTTTCCTTTGAATGTGTGAGCATCTCCCTGCTTTTTTTTTTCTTTCATCATGTGATATTGTATGTGAAAGGAAAGCAGAAGTCATTTTTGCGGATTTGAACGGGACCTCTTCATACTTTTCTAATGATTCGTTTTAAAGCTCTCTTTTGTGGCCACTTTTTTTTTTTTAACCCTTTGAGGTACAGCGGTCACTACAGTGGACAGCCTATCATGTTATCAGGTTACAGGTTATCATTATTGATGCATGAAAGGGTTCAACTCCCCCAAATCCTGATTGAATCTTTCCTCCGAGAGTACGAGAACATCCCAGCATTTTTATTCATTTCCTGTATTTTAAAATCACGTCGCGTTGCATGAGGAGCGCATCACGATGTGCGATTGATGGACCCGATGAAATTTCATTTCCATTCATGTGAAAGTACTTGAAAATAAATTATCATTTGTACAAATATCAGTCGTGGTAATCATTAACCCCCCCGCCCCCCCCCAATCATATGCATTTCTTGGTATAAATGGTTTTCATAAAAGCTGGGAACGAACCATCATCCTGTTCCTCATTTGGTGTAAAGAGGCGGGAAAGGAAGTTCTTCTGTGGGCTGCAGCCTGAAAGCAAAATGGGAACAATCGGAACCAATCTTATCATAGTCACTTTTTTTTTTTCCTGTGGTTGGTAATTACGTACATCAGGGATGGGCAAATGCATGCGGCCTGCACCCACATTCTGAGTGGCCTCTTGAGTAATTCCCGCCCCCCCCTAAAAAAGCCATTTTCCAGAATTTTGGCAGAGGAAATTGTGACCATGTTTACTCCACTATAGCAGACCCCCAGACACATGCATATTCCCCGTATTTGCGGATTTCTTTTTCCCTGTTTCATTTTGGGGTTTTGTTTGGATGGGTGAGGGAAGCAGGGTTAGGAGCCAAAAACAGGAGTTCCTGTTTTTAGTCAAATATGAATAATGTAGTTTCATCAGTGTTTTTGAAGAGTTTTGGGAGGTTACAAAAAAATTTCACCATTGCCCTGATGAGAAATTGTGCGCCTCTCCATCAGCCGTGATTTACATGAAAACTACGCATCTTTGTGTTTGAGGGTCTGACCAGTTGTCTGGACTCCAGCGGGTGTGGTGGGCCTCCATGAGGTGGAAGGTGTACACGTGGCGCGAGTCCTCCGACACGTTCTCGGCGCTGCGGTGCACCACTTGGCCGTGGATCAGCACCACGCCACCTACACATTCAGTAAATATCAAAAGTCTACTTGCCTGATTTCTGCCACATTAACCTTCCTTGAAACTTGGACATTCAGCACAGTGTATCTCCTTAAAATAAGTTTCAACGAACCTTTTTTAACTTCTACGGGGATAAACTTGTCACCATCATAGTCCCGCTCCGTACCGATGAAGTCCGTCAGGGGGAAGGTGCCCGGCGGCGTCCTCACCATCCGGCGAGTCACGCCGCCTGCACGGGAGAAGGAAAAGGATTAGATTGTGTGGTGGGTGTGCCTAATAAAATGTTGGCTTACTGTTGTGCGAGCCCGGGAGGAACCACAGGCAGCCGTTGTTGACGGTGGCATCCTCCAAGGCCACCCACAGGCCCATCACCCTTCCCAGGGGCTCTGTGTACAAGAAAGTGGCGTCCTGGTGTGGCGTCACTAGGGGGCACACACAACAAATATTCACTGAAGTACAGTATATGTCATAGCTTGCCTTGTATATTGGTTGAAACAATTTTTTCTTTGTTCTGACCTTCTCCGCCAATCCCAGGTTGCTGGAGGGGGAGAAAACAAAAATCATATTGTAAAAATCAAAAAGATGACAAAACATCCATCAGTCCATTTGCTCATCCGCTTATCCTCACGAGGGTGGCGGTTGTGCTGGAGCCTCTCCCAGCTGTCTTCGGGCAGTAGGCGGGGGACACCCTGAACTGGTTGCCAGCCAATCACAGGGCACACATACACTCATAGACAAAACAAACATTCATGCTCACAATCACACCAAGGGACAATTGAAAGCGTTCAATCAACCTGACATGCATGTTTTTGGAACGTGGGAGGAAAGTGGAGTACCCGGACAAAACCCAAAACAAATACTCCCATATTTGAATGAGTGAAATACATACCAGTAGATTCATAGACAAAAACAAAAAAAAAAAAAATTTGTTCTGTGCAAATGGATGCGCTGAAAATAGTGTAATATTTAATGATAATCTTTTGCATGCATTCATGCCTGCATGAAAAATAAGGTTATCAAGCAAAATTAGGGGGTATGTGTGTAAATTTTATAAATATAATGAGAATGTTTTAAAATCTGTCAAAAAAAAAAACAGCATGTGTCTACTGTGTATATATATACACACACACTGAGCTTATATGAAACTAAATAAAGTTTTCTTTCAAAAATAAGCAATAATAAGGTAGGATTTAAAAATATGGGAAAAGTTTGAAATATCTATCAAATTAGCATTCATCAATATTGTGATGGTTAAATTTTGTAACATACTGTTTGTCTACACATATTTGAATAAATAAAATAAAGCATTGCACAAATACAAACAAACCCGTTGGGTCAGCCACTCCCACAATGCAACCTTATCAGTCAAATATGACAACTCTATTCCTCGATGTCGTTTCCATGAAAATACAGTTTTGTCTTTTGAGTGTCAGGTGCATGTTGTGTTGGTTGACCTTGAAGATGTACATGCTCTGCAGAATGACCGGATGAACCAGCCCAAGCTTCCTGGCTATACCCTAAGAGGAAGACGGCAATGCTGTGAGTAACCTCTCACACACTCAAATGGTCTCACACGTGACATGAACAAGTGGAACGAACGCTTTTACAAGCCCGAGTTAAATGCTCTCATACACATAAGCATTTTTCTGCACTTGTGGATGTGAAGTGGAAAGAAACTCACATGTGCGTGTGTGTGTGTGCGTGTGTGTCTTACTGTCTTCATAAAATGTAGTTTGTTATTTTTGGGATTTTTGTTTTTATTTCGGTCATTTTATAAAAAATTGTTAATTTTGTTAGTTTCAATTATGTAGGTGAGTGAAATAAACTTCACTTGTGTGTATGAGTGCATTTCATAAGGTAAGTGTGAACTCTCAGGCTTAGTTACTGTCTCACCTGAACTTTGGCTGAATGCGTGACTTTAGTGTACAAAGGTTCAAAGGCATGTAGCGCATGTCCCACTTTATTGAGCGATCGATGCTTGGGCACCACAAATTCTCCTGCGGGTGCAACAGAAAAATAAAAGATGCTTTACCTAAATTGTACAATAAAATATACCGACTGACCTTTGTCGTCAAAAACTCCCTTCTCGAAGAAAAAGCGGATCTTGTCTCCGCTGGTGATGAAATAGTCGGCGTTTCCCTGCAAGTCAAAAGCACAACAGCTGACCGGACAGTTCATTTACACAAACACTTAAAATGTTTTGGGGTGAAATAAAATATGCTTTTGATACCCTGGGACACAAATGATTGTGACCCACTATTTCAACCTAGCAACAAGTGCTGAAAAAAAATAAGAACCCAGAACAGTACAAAACCTCGTCCAGTAGATGGCGTAGTAATAGGGGGTGGGCTGCCCCCACCCCCCTTTTTTTTATAATAGTGAATATGATACTGTTTAACAGAAATAGTTTTTAATGCCATTTGAGACACAAATAATTGTGACCCACCATTTCTACCTGGCAACAGTGAAACAGCAAATTTAAGTTGAGCATGATGCCATTTCAAAAAAATTGTGTGTAATGTATATATTTTTTGTAACCCTTAAACTGTGTTCTTGAAGACTTTCCCGGTCCTTTTGAATTATGCCTAGCAACAAGTGACAAGGGTAAAAGAAGTGGGCCGCATACTGCACGTGCATCTGCAGTGTGACATCAAGGAAGGCATGAAACAGAAATCCACTTTAAAAGGTAAAAAAAACAAACAAAAAAACCTCTTGTACAGATGGCTGAGAAATCGACTTAAACACAGCAACTAAATATTTGTGTTTGATTACTTGCCAGCACTGAAGCCATTGGTACGTGGAGAAGGTGGTGCGGCAGTGCGCCGGCACATCCATCACATCCACAATCTCGGACATCCTCTGACGCAGTTCGTCACACTCATCAGGTGTCAGGAGCTCGTCCAGGACCACGTAGCCATCCTCCAAGTACTACCAAAAACACAAAGAGGACAGCGTAGTGAGTTTCACAAACTTTTCATTTCGTTTTTCACATTTGAGAAAAATCTCATTGACTTTTGAAACATATTTCATGGAAAATCCTCAAAAAGGATTTATTTGCTATTCTATGTTTATCATCACACTGAACTCCCAAAATCCCCCCAAAATTATTTTTTAATCTAAGGTCACAATATTTTCATCGAAGGTTCATCAAAATACAGCAGATAATTCTTATTTTGCTTTTTTTGTCATTATGATTTTGTTCAATACAATTGTGCAAGAATATTTTCCTATTATATTTGTGTGCCATCTGTTAAATGCAAGTAGACCGGAAGTTTAAAATTTGGTGCTGTACGCAAAAGTTCACAAGCCAACAGAAAGTACAGTATGCTACTTCCAGTATTCAAGTATTCGCACGAGTCACCGCGTTGCATTCGCACCGCGCTGTTTTGCTGCGCCTGTAAACGGCTTACGTAATCAGACTCAAGAAGCGAAATTCACGGCAAACCTTTTCCGACTGATTCAGCAGCTGCAAGTTGCATTGCTCACCTTTTGCACATCTCGGTCGCTTATAAAGTCCATATTGTCTTCACGACTCAAAAAAGCCCCCCAAATATACAGCCTTGGAGGAGGAGGAGCCACCAACGGGAGTAGATTGGCTCCCCGAGTGAACGGGGAGTGGCTGACCTCCGGGAACGTGACACGCTCATACGTCATCACACCCCGTTGAATCAGCTCGTCCTAATTGGATTTTCTCCCGCAGCAATATTGAAAACTAGAAGCGATTTCGCTGAGTGTCCAACATTGGCATATAAAAGGAGGATTAATAACATTCATCAAAAATAACTCTACAACACCAATGTGTCGAGACAGTTTATTGTGTCACAATAGTACAAAAAGTGCAACAATCAATCAATCAAGGCATGTGAATTTTTTTAAAGTTACATTTAAAATTACATTCTAAAAACATTAACTTCACAATTGTAGTATGGCTTCCCTGCACTGACAAAAAATACGTTTCCCGGTCATTTGAAACTTTCCACGTTTTAATAATGTCCTGCTAAAATCAGCATGTTTAGATGAGGCTTTCATAATTAGTGAAAAAAACAAAAACTTTCACTCATGGAGGCAGCACTTCATACACTAAACCATGTGTTTGTGGTGTCAACTTCACCAATTATGTCCCGTTTATCATACACTAAGAGTGAATCATAATCTTTCAATCCAACAAACTCAATGCAGCTCTGCTTACCTTTTGGCTTTGACATGGCTCTGGATCTTCTCGAAGCCTAGCTGATCATGTCATGGGCAGATAAACTCAGTCTGGGGGCAGTGATTATGCTTATTAAATATGTAATGAGTTATTATGCAGGTAGGTTAGCTATGCCTACATCGCAAAAATACATTTTGCATTAGAGAACCTCGTTGTCGGCCATGAGTGGATGCATGTCCCAGAGAGAAGGTGAAAGAGTCAGGTAAATGTTCTCTTTAAAAAGGTGGACCAGAGTGGCCACTTTAGAGTGCCTCGTTGTCGCAAACCTATTCCAGTTATACAACAGGATAGCTTTGTGTTTGACTATCCAGGCCCACATTTTACACTGTGTAAATTTGTGAGTAAATTCAGACGGATCGTCAATCTTTCAATTAAAAAAACAAACAAAAAAAAAAACAGCTTAAGGCTGTGTTTGCAACATTCTAGGCCACGTGGAGCAATTCAAGGCTGCGGTGGATCTGGCTAATCATTAATATTGTAATTGTTTCGAAAGGAGCTATGTTTGCAAAAGCTGAAAACGAAAAGTCTATAGTATCATGTAAACTTGGCTGACCGTGGCTGTGTTGGGTATTCACTCCCTCTCCACGATACAGTGCCCGATATAATAAGGTGGTCATTTTGTAGTGCTGTTGGAATGTTTAGTGAGTATTGGTTATCCCCTATTTAGTAGCGTCTTAAATACATCTTGACACAATGGTCCCTAGAAAAGCAATACATCTGCCAATGCAAGATAGAAAAAGCAACACATCAAAACATGGAAGGATGTAAAAGATTTTTTGGGAATTATTTTTCTGGGTGAGACCTTCTAGACATACCTTTTGAAAAACGTATTGATAAATACATACCCCTGTGGCAGTAAATGGGTAGATTCCAGTTTATAAATATAAATGTCCACGGCGGTGAATGAGTAGCATTCCAAAACTACCTTTTATTTGCTAAGTGAACTATGTAGTCCATCTCATAAAAATTCCTATCTAGTCTTAAGGGAGTAGGGAATGGGTGAATGATTACAAACATAGCCCATGTCTCATTAACATTTTAACAGTTCCTTATTGATGCCCGTTCTGGTCCAATGGCACGCAGTAGAAAGGAGCTTTAACATGCTGATTAGAAAAAGGATAGGAAAAAAAAGGGGTCTTGGCACAGAGCCCGGATGGCATGCCTCACACTAAGCGACTCAGGTCTTACTGACTTTTAAGGCCAAAGTTAAGATCACACAGAAAACGTTCTGGAGCATGTGTGATGGACATTCAAGGCTTCTTAAGGTACATTTGTGACTCTTGTGTCACAAAGAAAAGGTGCGCAGCCTCCACTTACCTTCCCAAGGCAATAAAAAATAGAAAAGCCGTCACACTTTCTCCTTTTCTGCACCCAGCATTTGGTCCTTGACCTCAGGTGGCAATGTGTTGAACAGCTTCTCCTCCACCACCAGGCCGCTGCGTACTAGTAGCCGACACTCGCCCAGCTCGGGCGGCAGGCTCTCCAGGTTGTTGCCACGTAGCTCCAGCTGGGTCAGGCCGGCCAGCTCGCCCACGCATGCCGGCAGCGTCTCCAGGCAGTTGTTGCCCAGCTGCAGCACACGCATCTTCTTGCACTGGAACAATTCTGTCGGCAGCGTCTCAATCTGGAGGGGAAGAAAGCCGTATTGCTTGAGAGGAAGCGCACGTCTTGCAGCACAGGAATCATCCAGTGAAGCCCGGTTTATTGTAAGAGCAAAGACTACGGTCGGGAGTTCTAAAACTGGTTATGTTGAGTTGCCACTGCGTAAATGTCGTTTTTATAGTATTTTTTTAAATGTTAAGCTGTAACAAGTATGTTTGTGATGCTGCACAGTCCAGTAGAATCTCTTTTGTCTGCCCTATTGTTTCAGTTTTTGTACCTCGACCGCGATTGCTACATAAGCCACAATGGGGCCAAAGAAACGGTGGTCAAGAACCCCGGTGCAATCAAGACAACTGGACTTCTTTCTTGTTGACTGAAAGATGTTTCATCTTGAATCTAAAAATCTCACTCAGTTTGTCAAGTGAAACAACCGTCCTGCATAACAACCAATCAAAAGGTTGCCTCCAGAGGTGAACTGTCTTCAACAATAAAAGTCCAGTTGCCTCCATTGTACCTTTGTGGATTACCATGACCTGGATGACTGAGTATCTACACAGACCTACTGAGCGCTTCTTACTCGGTTTTCTGTGACGGCAAAGTGCTGCAGGTTCTGGAGCAAGCCCACGTCAGGCGGGATGACGGTCAAGTTGTTGTGACTCAAGTCCAAGAAGCGCAACTTGTGGCAGAAGAAGAGCTGACTAGGCAGTTTCTCAATCTTGTTCCTATTGAGGTACAGCTTCTCCAGGTTGTTGAGGGTACCGATCTGAATGGGTATGTAGGCGATCTGGTTGTACCACAGCTTCAGGCAAACCAGGCGGCGCAGGTGCTGGAAGCTGATGATCTCCTCGATGGTTTTCAGGTTGTTGTCCTTCAGGTTGATCTCTTGCAGGTTGTGCAGGCTAAAGATGGAGTGCGGAATTCGCTCCAGGTCGCAGTGCACCAGCTCCAGTTCGCTCAGGTTGACCATCTTGTTCATGCTGTTGAGCACCATGAGCTTGCTGCCCTCGTTGTTGATGGAAAGCTTCTGGAGGTGCGCGCTCAGGTCGGTCACCACCTGTGGCAGCTTGTACAGGTTGCTCTTCAGACGGAGGACCTTGAGCTTCTTCAGCTCGCGCAGCCCATCTAGGACGATGTAGCGATTGTTGTCTGCGCTCAGGTTGCCGGTCAGGTGCAGCTCACTGAGATTCTTGAGGCTGTAGATCCACAATGGGATCTCCTTGACATCTGTGAACTTGATATGCAGGGACTTGAGCTTCTCCCGGAGGAACGTCAGGGCGGCCGACTCGATTTTGGCCGGCGTGTGGTATAACCGCAGCTCGCGCAAGTTAGACAGCTTGGCCACGATGGGTGGAATGGTGACGTCGGGGATGAACTCCAGCTTGAGGCCCTCCAGCTCCACCAGGTCGAAGACTGTCTCGGGGATGCCACTCAGCATGCACAGGTGCAGCTCCAACTTCTCCTGGTAGTTCTTGGAGATGTGCTGCCGGAGCTTCTCCAACGTCCACTCGTTGTTGAGGTTGAGCTGCCGTAGTTTGTTCTCACTCACCTCCGACAAGAAGACAGCGAAGCGCTTGGAGTAGAGCGGGTCGTACTGGTCGAGCATGTGCAGCATGAAGGCGAAGTCGTTCTTCAGGTCAGGGATGTCACTGTAGCTGCCCTCCTCGCGGATGGCTTCGAAGGAGTAGCGTTTGAGGGTGCGCCGCAACATCCAGCACAGTGTGTACATAGCAATCAGGCCGTACACTAGCACCAGGCTGATGTAGAACGACGCCAGGATTTTGAAGAGTGTCGCCAGCGGGTGGGCGCAGTAGAATGTGCTGAAGCCCGTCAGCTTCTCCGTCTCCACCGTGCACATGACGCTGAAGCGGATGTAGAACACGTAGTAGCTGGCGTAGCTAATGATCACCAAAAACATGATAACTTTGATGATGGTCTGACGCACGTACAGACGGTGGATGACGTCGCCTTCTTCCACATGGATCCTGAACTTCTTCACCTTTTCGAAAAGAGCCTTGGCCTGCTCCCCTTCCTTCTTGTCCAGAACGCCAGTTTCCGGTCGATCCACGATCCGTTGCTCAATTTTGGTCTTTGTTTTTTGGAGCATGGGCATGCTGGCCTCCACGTCCTTGGTGTCAGGTAATGGTTGGTACAGGGTTTTTTTGTCAACTGAACCGTTCATCTTCCCTAAAGGTTTGACGTCCCTCTCCTCCACCACCGTCTCCGACAGCGCCCTGGTGGTCCACGGCGAATCAAAGCACTTTCGCAGGATAGAGACAAAGTGCTCCAGTTTGGAGCTGGTGCGCGGGAACTTGAACCAGAAGTTGCTGCAGGCCAGGAAGATGAGCGTGTGGAGCAGCACTAAGTAGGGGAAGTACTTGGCGAACCAGTGCAACTTGCTCTCGTAGCACACGGCATCAATGTAGCTGTACTGGTGACGGTCCAGGTCGTTTTGAATGCCGCGGGGCTCCCCAGGGCGCGGAGCCGAGGAGCTGCGGGGGGGCGCCGCCTCACACGAGTTATTGGCGACCCACTTACAGGGTAAGCAGATCATCTTGTCCTGCGTGATCTGCAGCGTGCCGCCAAACACGGCGATCATCAACATGACCAACGAGATGTAGTCGTTGAAGACGTCCCACCAAGGCTTCAGAATACGGTACGCCGGCTGGGTATCGGCAAAGTACCGGAGCTCGGTGATGGGAATCATGATGGCTTACCTGCAGGGATGCAGACAAGCAGCCAATTAGCCTCAGAAGACATAGCATTTGCCTTTTACACAGCAATGGTGCTGTCCTGCCTCTCTTGGGTCTCAGATACTACCTCCGAAGGCAGACAATTGCCTGCTCAGCTTTGTCGCTGAGCGGAAGAGGCATTGGTTAAAATTTTTGTCTAGGTCATTGGTGTCAAACCGCACTTAGCTACTTCCCCTTTATAGAAAGAACCTCACACACTTTTGCATTCTTCATGGCTGAAAGTAAATATAATAAAATGCTCAGTTGTTTAACATGTGATTTTTTTTTCAAACTAGGTCAAACTGGTTATTCACAAGCTGGTGATGTCACAATCCCATATGATGCCATTCAAAGCAAGGGGTTCTGCCTTGAAATGGCAATGCTATCACATACAAATAGACGTGTGGCTAAAGACAAACTGTGGCAGGGTTTACTTTCTGGGACTGGATTTGACACCTGTCAGATAGGAGGGTTTGCATTTTGGCTGTTGATACATTTGTAAAGCAGGTGGTGTCAGTGTGTTACATATTGCAAACTGGTAGTGAATGGACTTTCTTTTGGAGTAGTGGAAGTAATCGACATCCTTGAAAGACATCTTGGCATGTATATGATAATCGGTTTAAGGTGCATAAAAGACATCTAGTAACCCCCCCCCAACACAGACACACACACACACACACACACACACACACACACACACACACGCACAACTGCCTTTCTTTTTTAGATGACAATTCTGAACACAAGTAGGACGGTTTTGGCACACTATTTAGACAACTACGTTACAAATTGCACTACTTGACAGCTGCGGTCTATTATAGTTGTAAGAGATGTTGACGAGGAGAATCTTATAATGGCAAAAGTAGCACTTGTTGCCGTTTGTAAACTAGTAAACACTTTTGCCTCATTAAAGTTGACAAGTCGTCTCCCTACTGAGGACAAAGTGCAAACTAGTACATGGACCTTAAGATTGATATCAATGAAGGCGTTTGGGCATTTCATTTTTGTGAAGATATCAAAGCCACTTGAACTTTTATTTGACATGTAAGGTATCCGTGATATCCATCTTAATGTCGTATTAGTAGGCCAAGAGTGGAACTAATAGTCCGACAAAAAAAACGTTTATAGGACATATCAAAGATGTGAAGTAAACGCTACTCGCGTCTCCTGATAACTCTACTTCCGGGAAGTAAAAACTCACCACTTTTATGGACACGGCTGGCTCTCAGCTCTCCCACACGCCAGGGACGCATTTCTCAACCACGAGACCGCCCGGACGGCACCGGTTCGGTGGGTGGGGACCCAGTGGGACAGCATCTCCAGAAGGCGGAAGTCTGCGGATTCCGGAAGAGTCCACTCCGAGATCGGCGCTGATTGGTCTGTCAGCGCGAGCCTGCCGGAAGTAGTACATTTCCTTGTCGTTTTTTTCCTACAAACTAAAAGCACAATGTTACAGTTATGTGGGTCAGTCAGAGCTTGGCTTTACTTTATATGCGCTTTCTCAGTGTGAGTTTGACAGAAAAGACTGGACAATCTAACTTGAAGACGCAACCACACGCACGCCTTGTAAACACGTATAACGTTCTAATTCGACAACAATAACGTTGGTTCCTTTGGCTCAAACTCATTTGCGTTCGCTACAAATATCGAGATCGATTTTGCACATGTACTACATTTCCTCACAAAATGAAAGGCATAAACCAAATAAATGCCAGCAAACAATGTTGTTTTGTGCCGTTCATAAAAACTAAAACAAAATAGTACAATTCCTCACTAATAAAAAACAATACTCAATGCTGTGCCCCAAATGAACAAGAGCATGAACATGACGTCATAATTACACGACGACCCAGCAGCTCCAGACAACGTAAACAACTGTCATGGCGCTCCACGGCTGTCTCCCATGTTTACGGGCACCACAAATGTCGAGATGGATGATGACGTTTGCGCGGGGTTCACGGTGTCGTTCGTCGGTGTGTGGATTTCATCCCCGCTGTCTCTCTGCGGTAGTTCCGATAACGAGTCTTTCTCGATTGGACCAGTGTAATGGTCGTCTTCAGGCACACTCGGAAAAAGTCCAAACCATTTGGAGAAGCTTCTCGAGTGAGGCTGTTGGGAAAATCCAGTCAACACATTACTACCTGGTGTACACATGCAAGGTACTTGGGTTTCTCCACATTTGTGCAACGCAAAGTGTTACGCTACGTGATGGACTTGTTGCAAATTGGAACTCTTCGAAGGTGTGCACCGCCAGATCCAGGCAGAAAATCTCCAAGCAGGCGTATCACAATGGTGTCGTGATTGTGACGTGTCCGGGATGCAAGAATCACCACATAATCTCTGACAACCTGGGCTGGTTCTCCGATCTGGAAGGGAAGAGGTTGGTTGCTTGATACTCTTAAAAATAAAAGTTATGAAATCATAGTACAGCGGCCCTCCGCCATATTGTGGTTCATCGTTCATGGCCCCCGTTATACCGCAGATTTGTCAGTGAAAATTTTCTCATGAGTTTTTACAGTATACAAGTAGAATTTTGAGTTGGGCACCTTTAATGTACGACCAATGAGCAAAAATTGTATGCTCTGTTTGTATGTGGTGCTGCTGCTAAAGTAACAGTTGTTTAAAGGTTTAGAATTACCATAACACATATAATTGCAATAGCTCACCTGGGGTATTTTACATTTTATGTTATCATTAATCTCATGGACTTTTGTTAGGTGTTTTGGTTTATGTTAGAACTGACAATGAACGGGGGCTTATTGTTGTGAAATTTTAGAAATGTTATAAACTACCACTTTACCTTCCTAAAATATTAATTTTAAAAGTGCCTGACAAAATGGCTCCAGCGTTTAGTTGGACAACTGCAGAAAATGCTTTGTTTTTTTTTTTTTGTTTGTTTTTGTTTTTTTTTGACAAAAGCTTCTCTTTACGTACTCTATTTGAACAGTTTTTTTTTTTGTTTGTTTGTTTTTGTTTTTTTTGACAAAAGCTTCTCTTTACGTACTCAATTTGAACGTTGTCAGGAACATCGAGGAGATACTGGCCGCCAAAGGAGAGACGGTGAGGCGGCTGGGCCGAAGTGACGCTCTTGAGGTCGTCCTGACCGAGTCGAGCCAGGAGAAATGTCCTCAACAGGAAACAGCAAACAAGAAGGATTTGAAGGAAGATACATGAATGCATACACCATCGAGTCAGATGGTTATTTTCCACAGTAGTTGTCATTTGGATGGCGGATGGGGTGGAGTCTATTCCAGTCCATTCACACTTATGGATATTTAGAGTCTTTAGTGAAGCTTACATGTATGTTTTTGGTATGGGAAGAAGCCAGAGAGAACCCACAAGTGCATGGAAACTGATGCAAACTCCAGATCTGGATCAGAACGCCACAACTATGAGGTAGACGCCTAACCACAAGTTCACTATGCTGACCAAGAACAAAACAGCATAACAGAAAATCAGAAATAAAATCAAATTATGAATCCAAAACAGTCACTGCAATTGCATTTCTTTTTATATAAGTTTTGATGTTTCCATTTTTGAACACATTACCAAATATAAATCCTATATAAGAGCATTAATTGTTGTCTTTTTCTCTGAAAACGTTAGCGCTCAAGAGCCACATCAGATTTTTAAATTGGAAAGATAGGCATAATTGTTTGATAGTAGAAAAAAATTATGTATTAAATCAAGGATATTGTATGATTAAGAATGTTTCTTTTACATGTGGCATTGTATTATTTGAATGCATTATTATTATAACAGTTATGTAATTAGATAAATGCGTGGAAAAAGACGATTTAACACATTTTATGGGAAAATGACAAAACTACAAATACAAAACGCTGCATTAGCTTGTGCTTGTGTGGCTACTGTCGTACCGTACTTGTGTATATTTTGCCATTTTACCAAAGAGTTTCGATATAAAATTTACATCGCGATTACGAAATACAAAATAATTCAAGTGCATTTGCAGGGCGTTTTCGGCATCGCGCCAGCGTCACGTGAATCACATGATCTCGTCACTTCGCGCGAGAAGGCGACCTGCTTGTTTGCTAACGTTGTAGCGCCTTTTTGCAGCACGTTAGCACGTCGCCTCTTTTGTTTTGCCCCCTTCTCGCGTTCGGACTGCGATGGAGGCCCTCGCAGCCGCAGAGGAGGCCGAGGAGAGGCCGCATCACTGGCCGTTCCTCATCGGCGTCAGCGGGGGGACTGCCAGTGGGAAGGTTTGTTCGAGACCATTAGCTCGGGTGGTCGTTAGCATTAGCCGGGATAGCGTCGCCTGTCAAGGCATTTGGCCCGCCCACTTAGTACAACGATTAAAATGCGTTTGCGTTATCTATTATACACGTGACATTTGGTTTGGATAGCTTCTTTTGTGACGTATGCGTGTTTCTATTTAAGTCAAGTCAACTTTATTGTCAAATGTGCTCTATGTGCAACATACAGCATCCTCTCAACCACAGTGCAAACACAGGAGAGAGAAAATGAAAAAAAATCGCTAGCTTTCTTCTTTATCGTCGACTTTAAAGGGTTTTGAGACGGTGCAAGTGTTAAGTGCAAAACCAAAATAAATAAATGTGCGATTAAAAAATTGTACAATTACAATACGAAATGCATTGGGTTTTTTTTTACATTTGTATGTAAATGTAAATACTTATAGCAATCATTTTGGTTTTAATTTCATTTTTTTCTGGAATATTTCTCAACCAAAGATAGTAATGTATTTAAACATAATAGTAAATATGTCCATCCACCCATTTTCTAATCGGCTCATGCAAGCAAGGGTCACGGGTACTGGAGCCTATCCCAGCTGTCTTCAGGGTGTAGGCGGGGTGCACACCCTGAACTGGTTGACAATTGCAGGGCACACACAGATGTACAACCATTCGTGCTCACACTCACACCTAGGGAGAATTCAGTGTTCCATTATTTTTTTATTTCTGGGGCACTATGCCAGTCGACAGTGTGCGCTAAGATCATGGAGCTGCTGGGCCAGAACAAGGTGGACCACCACCAGAGGAAGGTGGCCATCATCAGCCAAGACTGTTTCTACCGCGTGCTCACCGCTGAGCAAAAGGCCAAAGCTCTCAAGGGCCAGTACAACTTTGATCATCCAGGTAGACAAAACACACGCCGAGGGACTCATTAAAGCGTGGTGTCTATTAGAGCGGGAGACACTATTTGAGAAATACAGCACTTTGTAACAGTGAGGAACTCTTGCTGTTTTGGTCTCGCCAGAAGCCTTCGACAATGAGCTGATGTACAAAACGCTGAAGGACATCGTGGAGGGCAGAGTGGTTCAAGTCCCCACGTATGACTTTGTCACCCATTCCAGGTGAGACCTTAAATGTCGACATTCATTCACACAGAGAAAGCCAGCAAAATCAATTTTTTGCTTTATGCGCTCTTTTTGCTTTTCAGGCTGGACGAGAGGATCACAGTTTACCCAGCCGACGTTGTCCTCTTGGAGGGCATCTTGGTCTTTTACCCGCAGAAAGTGCGAGACATGTTCCACATGAAACTCTTTGTGGACACCGATTCCGACGTGCGGCTGTCTCGCAGAGGTACGAAATACGGTTTGGATTTCTTTCTCCGATTGTTTCTGAGCTGAACGTTTTGGTTCGTTAGTGCTACGGGACATGGCCCGAGGCCGGGACCTGGAGCAGATCCTGTCGCAGTACACCACCTTTGTCAAACCTGCCTTTGAGGAGTTCTGTTTGCCGGTAAGCGTGAGATCCTGCGCACTACTTCGACTGAGCAAGTGTTCCCTCCCACACACTTGAAGGATTTTTTTCCCCCCTCTGTCCTGATTTTAGACCAAGAAGTACGTGGACGTCATCATTCCCAGGGGAGTTGACAACATGGGTGAGGCTCATTTCTCATGACTAGAAAAATCATCTTTTTAAGTTATCAAAACAAAACGGTCAGTCATAAGAGCGGTAACTAATTACCACTCCCAAGTGGCACTACAACTAAAACTTTGTCCTCAGGGGACAAAATGGACGCACCAACTTGAGGCGAGGCATTTATTTTAGTGGACAGCACATCTGATTTAATTGTGGGGCGGCATTTTAGAGCCGAGGCCACGATTTGAGGCGGCCAGCTTTTTGTGATTACCACACCAAAGGTCCTTTTTTTTTTCCTGTCACAAGGAGGTAATCTGCAGACGGCATACTTAAAGATTAATTGGTGTGTGGCTTGTTGGATTTTTTTGCGGTTTTGATTTGCTTTTAAATTCATTTTATTTCTTTCATTAGTTTTAACTTTTACACAATGCTTCGTATCAGTTTTGATTTTAGTTTTTTGACATATATTTCGAGTATTTGTTGAATGCAAGATAAAATAAATGTCACAGTATGTTTTGCGTAATAAAGTCAACTACAATTACCAAACGACTGTTGGACCTTGTTTCCTCATTACAGCTGCGCAGTAATAAGCTAGTTTTTTTCCAGTTTCAGTTATTTCATTGACTATACCAACAGTGCTAACACCGAATGATTAAAGCATCTATTACAACGGAGGCCCACAGACTTTACACCCTAACGTGTTTTGTTTGTGTGCCTCCAGTGGCCATCAACCTGATTGTGCAGCACATCCAGGACATCCTCAACGGCGACATCTGCAAGTGGCAGCGGGGGCCCATCAACGGGCAGGTCCGCAATTTGAAGCGGGCCATGGCGGGCGAATGCCACCTGCAGAACGCTGCCAGTGCCAACCCAGCCGGAAAGCGGGCCCTGTTGGAGCCCAGCACTCGGCCCCACTAGCGTCCAGAATGGCCAGCATCGTTCGGAAGCTTCCGCCACTATTCCCAGAGACGTTTATTTGATTTTGGAATTTGCTGTTACACACATGAGGTTGCAAGGGCTGGGAAGTATCTGGCAACTCTTGTTTGAGAAATTTGGAAAATGCTCCAAATTGGAAGACTTTCAATGAGAATTTGGGGGGCAACTCAATCAAATGGTCAAGCCCATTCAAGTGTAAATATAAACATTTAGTTTTGTCATAAGCAGACATCCGCAGCAAATAGCTACCTCTCGTTGCCCACAAGCCACGGCTTGGGGTACAGCGGTGCCTGTCTCATATTATCTTTCCTCATTGAAATGAATGCAAACGGCATTAATTAGTTTTGCGTAATGTGATTTTTTTTTTTAATGAGAAAAATATTACTCTGTTGTACTGAACTTCTATTAATACTATCAAAACATATATTAGTGACAATTGAATCGATGAAATTTTTTTTTAACTGTTTGCCACATTGTTTTGGCTCCATTTCAGTGGACTTGCTATACCTTCTGGTGTGTGCGCCTTGGCCAAATGGGGGCAGTATAATACAGACATAAAGATGAGTGACTTAATCAAGGTACCTTTGTAGTTGGATGAAATGTGACTGTTTTAGTTTAGATGGCGAAAATTATTAAGAGGTTCCCATTCTGCTTTATTCCCATAAATTCCTATGGAAAGTTTCCAACTTTTCCAAATTTTGCAAGCATACACACATGGTCCTGTTGTGTCAATTTATCGACATTACAAGCATAAGCTGATGGGGGGGCGGAGGAGAAATGCACTGTGTGACCCATTTTGTTCATTAATTTGAAGTTATAACCCACAGTGCGAGATGCACTTTTTTTCCCCACTAAAGATTGTTCAGTGCCCATGTAAAAGGAATGTTTTTCATGTGTTTATGTGAATGATATAAGATGATAATAAAGTATGATGAGTTCATGTATAGAAACAGCTGTTTGTTTTTATTGAGGGCACAGTGTGACGCGTTGCTTCTGACTGGTCTCCCAAAGATGAAAGGAAATCATTTACATTTTGGAATGACAAACGACTTCACTCACCTCGCCTCGAACATGACGATTGCTTTTTTTTGGGGGGGGGAATTTTTTTCTTTTTTTACACATGACCACAGCACACCATGACATAACAGATCACAGCATCTTGCGTCATTTCTCTGACCGTCTTTTTGTCTCGTTTGCCTTTCTCCTTGTTTTTGCATGCGTACGTACGGCACTTGCGGGAGAGACGGCAGAGTTCTTCCGGTAAGCACAAACGTCCTTTTCAAGAACAAAAGGAGCGGCGTGTGTATATAATACATTTCGTATCCACACATCTTTACACAAGCGAACAAACCTCCCCCTTCAACGCAGGACTTCACAGTGGATGGCGCTGCTATTTTGAGGGGAGTGGCGTGCTTGAGTTGAGGTGACCGATTCAATGGCACGTGAAAATACATACATATATATACACATATATGTATATATACATATACACACACACACAAATACACGCAAACAACTCACAAAAAGTAAGCGATACTCTGCTTTGGATGCAACGTTTCAAACTTTTTGCAAGTAGTGTATGTATATCGTCGCTGTTGGGTGGAAACCCCGTTATCTCTAGGGTCAATGTCACTCTCACATATTGATACTATTGGTCTTTTACAACAACTGTTAATTTAGACATTATTACCCAAATAAAGCTAGAAAACAGTACACCATGATGTTGCCTTAAGATTGAAAATCTGGATGTATTTTGCGTAATAATGACTGAAAATAGGTCAGATAGATTTGAGTAAGCTTGCTCTGTTTAAAACAACAAGAAAAGAATGTTGTCATACTAATTATAAGTCCAGAAGGAAACGAGTCAGGTACAAAGGTTCAGTTTGTGTACGGAATCATTTCCGCCTATTATGCTGCTTAGTCAGCTCATCATTTCATGACATCACTCATGGCGCTAAGACCTCTGGGGAAAAAAAAGAGCTTGGGAATGATGATACAAATATAGTCAGCGTAAATGTAGACTATTATGGATAAAGCAGAATAAATTGGATTTGTTTGTGAGCATATTAAATTAGCAATTGTACATGATTTTGGGGTGGTGGCGTGTTGATGTTGGTGCGCAAAAGTATATGATATCAATATAAGATATAACTTCGAAAATGCAGTTTTAAAGGGGGACTCAGGGTTTTAAAAAAATATTTGCATTGTTTTATGTGCCCCCACTAGGCCAAAAACGGTATTCTGATAATCCAGCCATCAATTTTCATCCATCACAGATGCTACCATTTTATCCTATACTGCCGGCTTAAATCGACACCCAAGTGCCCGCAGGGTTGCATTGGCAGTGTCACGTGGCCAAACCCAGAAAACAGGTGAAGCCAAGACATTCGCAATGCGAGCCTAATGGCACGTTGACGTCAATTTCAGTCAACTGAAGAGGTTGATGTGGCGAAAAATGACAGCACCGTGATACGGATGTCAAGAGCTTCCCTTGAAATCCTCGAGTTCCCCTTTAAGTAACTCAAGCAACATGTTTTAAAATAGTGATTTTAGAGATGGCAGGATTCCACCCAACAACGACGACATATAATAATACAAAAATGTTGAAAAACTTGAAAGCGTAATGGACCTTCTCACCTCAGTGTCACACACTCGGCCGACCGTCTCCACTTTACAAGAGAGCAGACTTTGGTTATTTCCGTATTTGTGAGTTCGCTCCCTCCCAGTAATAAGAAGTCTCCCAGCCTGGTGCGGCTCCTCGTAAAACTCACTCGCGCTTCCAATAATCGTTCTCCTGCAACGAATCTCCCGTTAGTGCCTGCCGAAAATAAAAACGTCCATTCGGCGGGTCCTTTAAAGTGGAGTTAGTGTCATTGAAGCACAGTTGGAGGTCATGTCTTTTTTTTTTTTTGTTTGTTTGTTTGCGGCGTTGGTGGGGCCGCTGCGCTTAAGTCTTCTCGTCCCGCTCCGTTTTGCGCCGGGCGATGTTTCGCGGCTTGATCTTCAGCGACAACTCCCACAGCGCCTCCTCGGCCAGGTGGTCGCTGAAGTCGTTGAAGAAGGAGACGATGTCGTCGTTGCGTTTCAGCTCGTAGTGCCTGCAAACGAAAACAACACGACATGAAACTCACACAGTGAACCTGAAGATTTTGAAGCCCCCTTTTTTTAAAACTCTACAACAGAGCTTTTTCAAATCAAAGAAAGATGACCAAGTCCCATTGCCATCCTTGACAAACACGCCCACACATGCACGCAGGCACAGAAACACACACGCAAAGTTCAACGTTCATGTAAACTCCATGCATGGGTCATGCATCAATGCAGTGTTCATCTTGCAATAAACTGTTATTTTGCAATCAAAGTGACCTTTTTTTGTGCTGTTTGTTGTTATTTTGAGGGAAGGATTGTTTAGATATTTGGCTGGCTACGGCTCTCCCAATTTGTGGGAGAAGTAGAAAAAGTAGTAAAAAAAAAAACTTGACGTGGTATTGATATCGCTGTGGTCTTTTAGTCAGTCACTCATCTAAGAGACCGCTTACGCGCTTGGATAGTTGCTGCCGTTTTGGTTAGCAAACGGGTCTAACGCATACAGATGGGATGCGTGGTTACGCACACTTGCTGGAAGCGGCGCATGCTGTCCAAGATGTTGAATTGCTGCCACCGCTTGGAGAAGTTTACTTTGCCGTCGATGAGGTCGGGGTTGCCCAGGTGAACGAAGGTCAGGTCCTGCAAGATCAGACCCCTGGGGCGAGAGTTGTCAGTGTGAGAGTGTATGTACTCTCCCTCTCTCTATTTCTTTTTAAGGTGACAAACCACGTGCAATGCACTTACAAGTACGGGATGCAGGGAGGCTCTACTTCAGCCAGAGCGGCCCGGTATGCCCGGAAGGACGACGAGCTGTCAATCAATGTGCAATATTCCTCCAATCCCTGATGGAAGGATTAAAAGAAAAAAAGCAAGAGAAAATATTACAACAGGGTTTTGTTTTTTCATCCGGCATATAAAATCTGGAGGTGGCCTTCCTCCACACCTGACTTGGAGCTGCGACCGTGTCGAAGACTTCAGACGAGTGTTTTTTTGACCGCTTTGATGTTATCATCGTTGGCATTGCTGCCATGTTGCCGATATTCAAAGTAATCGTTTACTGCTATTATGATGCTTTGAGATACGACGAGTTCACCTCTGACGTCTGCTTCTGCCACTCCAGTCTTCGGATGGGCGCGGAGTCCAAGGCGGACAGGATGGCCAGGTACGAGTTGAAGTTGTTCAACTTTCTTAAGTGCTGTCCAAAGAAGTGAAGTGAGTTAAAAGAAATGAAATACATTTTCTGTGGGCATGCCAGGACCCACCTTCATGATCTTGATGAACTTGAGCAGCAGCTTCTCTCGGTCCTGGGCTTTTTCTTGCTGAATGATTAATGAGCGCACCCTGGAGGGCGCAGACGATTAAAACAGAAAGTGGGTGACAGGAACTCGCAGACGCTTTTTTTCGTTTTTTGACACTCACCAGTAGCTCATGTTGTTAAAGTGCTCTGTGAACTGCGTCAGGTTGGGACTCTTCTCTTCGTTTTGCTCTTTGGCCCAAAGCAACACCTCGGGAATCTGACGCAGACAGAAACAAAATACCACAATCAGAATTCATTTTATCAGCGGCTTTTAGTTGCTCAACTCAAGAGCACCAGTCATTTATTTAGCCAGCCGTAGAGTTGCAGGCACCCTTTTACTCACCTACAGAAATTAGGTACCAAACATTAATTTGCTCAACTGCAAAATGCCAGGGATTTAATTATTCAACTGCTGAAAGTTGCAGGCACTTATTTACTCAACTGCAGTGAGTGATAGGCACTTAATTTACTTACTCACATGCAGGAACTACCAAACCTTTAATCACTAACTAGAAAGTACCAAACCTTTCATCACTCAATTGCAGAGCGCAAAGCCTCAGGATTGCAGGCCTTTCGTTACTCAACTCTAGAGAGCACAAGGCACCTCATTACGCAACTGTAGAGAGTACCGGGCGTCAGCTGGCCTACCTCAATTTTGTAGAAGAGCTCTGCGTCCAGAAGCGTGAGCTGGTCTGCAATCTCGTGACTGCGGAAATCGTGAAGCGTTCCGGGCCTGGCGGGAAGGCATTCACACACCGATTTAGATCATCATTTTCAACATCCGCTGCAGATGGGAGACAGGGGTCACGGGAGGTCGCGGGCGTACCTGGCCGAGACGCCGCGGGCAGCGAGCGGCTTGAGCGAGTTGGTGTAGCGCAGCAGCTTCTTCTGCTCCACCTTGTCCAGGATGTTCTTGCGGAGGACTCGGGCCAGGCTGAGCTCCCCGTTGCAGACCAGGGTGAAGACCAGGTCCATGAGCTGCTTCAGGATGTCCTCCGTCAGCTCCACCAGACTGGAAGCAGAGGCCCATTGTCAGGGAAATTTGACCCCATTTCAGCCAGTCTCTTTGTTACAAATCACTGTGACACAAGAAGCTCAGCGGCCACTAATAAAACAGTCAATCTTGAATGGGCGGATCTCTAATCGGGTCATGGAATTGATCACCGTTGGTTACTCTTACTTCCCTGAATAGTGTCATGAGCATGACTTCATCCGGTATCCCGCTTGAGGGGTTCTCTAATGCTAGTATTAAAAAAACCCCACAAGGTCAAAGTAGGCTCACCTCGAAAGGTTATGGTATATTTGGGCTACACCTTGAGATTTCACTCCGAAGCTCAATCTCCGACAGCAGTAGACATTATTTATAATCTGGTTTTTGCAGCA